TGCCACAAGTAGTGTCCCTCACTTCAGGATCTAAGTGTCTTAGTTCTTGGAAATTGTAAAGGAGTTTACCAGTGTCCATCCATTTTATTGACCTTGGTGAACGAGAGGATTATTACTTCTGTGAACAGGAATGGCACCCAGCTTCCTGAATTTAAACATGGCTCTACTAAATTAATGTGACCTTGGGTGTGCTACTCTGCTACTCTGTGCCTGAGTTTTCTCATCTGTAAAATGACATGGAATTAGTAATCATTCTTTCCTCATAGGGTTTTGATGATTAAATTATTTAATGCCTAGGAAACTCCTAGCTCAGTGGTTGGCATATAGTAAAGTGCTTTAAAAGTGTTTCCTTTTTTAAAAAGTCATTTGAATCTGCAATTATATAATAGGTGTGTTAGGTATGTTAATAGGTCTTCCTTTATTAAAGGAACCCACAAACAAAAGTAGAATTTTCCTTTCTTGGCCTTAATTTTTTATTTCTGAGTTACTATAATATATACCTATATCTTTTGTGGTGAGCTGCTACAAATCTGGAAAGAGTAGGAAATAAATCTCTAGTATGCTAATGTGATATATTTTGCTGGTATATTAGTGGACTGTAATCCTGAAATCGGAGTTCATTTCTGGCTCTGCCCCTAATTAATTAATTAATTAATTAATTTATTTATTTATTTATTTATTTTTAAGCTGAGCCATTCTGCCACCTGTTGGTAGCTCAGCGGCTGCTCAGCTCGGGCCAGGAATCGAACCGCTGTTGCTCAGAGCTCAAACTCTTGAGCGAGCTCTTAACCAACTGAGCCACTCGGCTGTCCCCTGCCCCTACAATTTTTATGAGATCTATACCTGGAAAGGCATTTGGATATCATTCTATGAATTGTTTGTAATATTTACTTCTTCATACCAGGAAAAACTGGAGGAGTGCCTAAAGCAGTTAAAGGAGGAAAGAGTAATAAGGCTTAAGGCTGACAAACGAATCAGTGAGGTAAACAAGTTTTTCTTGTATTTCTGAGAGCTTTTTGACTTTATTTTCACTTGATTTTAAACTATACACACATATAGTTTGTAAACTTTATAAGTGTCATGTATTGCAAATTGGTTGTCTCATGTGAACCTTCGTATTTACTTATATTTAGTGGTCATGTGATCTATATTCCAGAAAGCATGTTTTTAAAAATGTAAAAATCTTACTTTTTGGTGTGTGTGTGCTTTTATATGACTAGCTTATTTTCTGTTCGTGATGCTTCCATTCAGGAAAGCACTTATTATGCTTATACTGTATATACATAAAGGACATGATGATACTATTTATTGGCAGTGAATTAAGGAAGTGATTCATATAAAGAGATAAGTATAAGGTATTAGAAAACTGCTAAGAATGCAATGAAAGAAAAATAGGTATAATGAGAATTACATTAGGCTAAC